GGGAGAGGATTAGATCTATATATGGAAGAGGGTTAAAATAAAAAAAAGGAAGGTAGGGTTAGGAGAAGGCACGCGAGTGCGCGGACGAGGTGCCGTTGGATGGAAGAAATAGGATATATATGCCTTTCGTTTTGATATTATATGTTGAGTTCCGTTTCGAAATCAGTCATGTACTTGGAACTTAAAAATTGGTAGTTGTTTTAGTTGGATTACTCTATATACCTAATAAAAAAAATTTGTAAGGATTCCATGAGTTTTTTCGTCCGTCGTTTTTTTAGCTCTTCTTCCTTTTTTTTTCTCTTATTTCTTTTTTTCCGTCCGGCCTTTTTTCGCTTTTTTTTCTTTTTTCCGTCCATCCGTTTTTTCGCCGTTTTCCCCTTTTTTTTCCGTGCACTTTTTTTCGACGGCGTTTCTTCGGTTTTTTTCCGTCCGCTTTTTTCGTCTTTTCTTTCTTTTTTTGCACGTTTTTTCCTTTTTTCCATTTTTTTCATCTGCTTTTTGTCCGTCTCTGTTTTTTTAGTCACGTTTTTTTGGCACGCGGTGAGGATTCGGTTTTTAATCCACCTGGTTTTTTTCCGTCGCCAGGATTTAATCTCAAGCTGTTGCCCTGGCCAAACCCTAGCGTCGCCGCCAGATTGATCTGCCTCCCGTGCGTTTCCTACTATAATTGATTGCAAAAAGTGATTCCCCACTACTCCCTCATCATTTGATTTCCTCTTACTATTCGGCTTTACATCACTAGATTTAATCTCCATTTAATAGTCATCGTTTCCCCATAAGTTTCCCTTTTAATTCGGATTTAATTTACTAGATTTAATCTTCGTTAGCTGGTGATCTTCCCCTAGTTGTTTTTATCCCAAGTTTTGTGGATTCGCTCCGATTTGGGAAAAACTGAAAGAAGAGATACTAATGTTTATTCTGTTGTATCACTAAAAAAACGTCTAGACCCGTTGCAACACACGGGTATTTTTTCTAGTCCCATCCAAATTGGAGGAGCACAAGTATAGAAGGATATAGCACAATATGCCGGGTAACTGGCCTAATAACAACAATAGGGAAAAAAGAGTAGAAATTATAGGAACGTAGCTAATTTCTCACCTCTCCCACCAATTTGTAGACCAATGGCAGCCGCGGCGTGCGCACCGCCTACACCGCCGCCGCACGCCCGGGAGAGATATACCGGTGGAGACGCCGTGACAATGATGATGCGGCGAGCTGTGGTCGAGAGCTCTCACCAGCCGGGATTATGGAAGAAGGTTAAAAGAAAATAGCGGGAGAGGATTAGATCTATATATGGAAGAAGGTTAAAAGAAAAAGAAAGGAAGGTAGGGTTAGGACGTACGGGGAGTAGGCACCGTCGGACGGAAGAAACATGATATATACGCCTTTTGTTTTGTTATTATATGTTGAGTTCCGTTCCGAACTTTTATTAGTCAAGTACTTGGAACTTAAAAATTGGTAGTTATTTTCGTCGGATTACTCTATATACCTAATAAAATTATTGTAAGGATTCTGTGAGTTTTTTCGTCCATCGTTTTTTTCGCTCTTTCTTCCTTTTTTTTCCCATGTTTCTTTTTTTTCCGTCTGGCTTTTTTCGCTTTTTTTCTTTTTTTTTTCTGCCGTTTTCCCCTTTTTTTTTCCATCCACTTTTTTTTCGACGTCGTTTCTTCGGTTTTTTTCCGTTCGCTTTTTTCATCATTTTTTCCTTTTTTTTTGCAAGTTTTTTTCCTTTTAAAGTTTTTTTCATCTGCTTTTTTTCCGTCTCTATTCTTTTAATCACATTTTTTGGCACGCGGTGAGGATTCGGTTTTTAATCCACTTGGTATTTTTCTATCGCCGGGATTTAATCTCAACCAGTTGCCCTGGCCAAACCCTAGCGCCGCCGCCACATTCATCTGGCTCCCGTGCGTATCCTACTCTAATTGATTCCCCACTACTCCCTCATCATTTGATTTCCTCTTACAATTCGGCTTTACTTCACTAGATTTAATCTCCATTTAACATTCGTCGTCCCCCTATAATTTCCCCTTTCAATTCGGATTTAATTCACTAGATTTAATCTTCGTCAGCCGGCGATCTTCCCCTAGTCGTTTTTATTCCGAGTTTTGTGGATTCGCTCTGATTTGGGAAAAACTGAAAGAAGATATACTAATGTTTCTGCGGTTGTATCACTAAAAAAACGTGTTTACCCGTTGCAACATACGGGCATTTTTTCTAGTCCCATCCAAATTAGAGGAGCAAGGAATTATGAAAAAAAACAAGTATAAAAGGATATAGCAGAACATGCAGGGTAACTAGCCTAATAACAACAATAGGAAAAGAAAAGAAGAACTTATAGGAACGTAGCTAATTTCTCACCCCTCCCACTAATTTGTAGATCGATGGCGGCCGCGGCGCGTGCACCGCCTACACCGCCGCCTCATGCCCGGGAGAGATATACCGATGGAGACGCGCGTGACAACGATGATGCGGCGAGCTGTGGTCGAGAGCTCTCACCAGCCGGGATTATGGAAGAAGGTTAAAAGAAAATAGCGGGAGAGTATTAGATCTATATATGGAAGAAGGTTAAAAGAAATAAAAGGAAGGTAAGGTTGGGAGAAGGCGCGCGCGTGCGGGGAGGAGGCGCGTCGGACGGAAGAAAGAGGATATATACGCCTTTCGTTTTGTTATTATATGTTGAGTTCTGTTCCGAACTACTATCTATCAGTCAGGTACTTGGAACTTAAAAATTGGTAGTTGTTTTCGTCGGATTACTCTATATACCTAATAAAAAAATTTATAAGGCTTCCGTGAGTTTTTTCGTCGGTCATTTTTTTCGCTCTTTCTTCCTTTTTTTTCCATTATTTCTTTTTTTTCGTCCAGCCTTTTCTTCGTTTTTTTTTCTTTTTTTCCGCCGTTTTCCCTTTTTTTTTCTATCCATTTTTATTCGACGTTGTTTGTTCGGTTTTTTTCCGTCCGCTTTTCTCATCCTATTTTTTGCATGTTTTTATTCCTTTTTCCAGTTTTTTCATCCGCTTTTTTCCGTCTCTATTTTTTTAGTCACATTTTTTAGCACGCGGTGAGGATTTGGTTTTTAATCCACTTGGTTTTTTCCTTCGGTGGGATTTAATCTCAAACAGTTTCCCTGGCCAAACCTAGCGCCGCCGCCACATTATTCTGCCTCCCGTGCGTTTCCTACTTTAATTGATTGTAAAAATTGATTCTCCACTACTCCCTCATCATTTGATTTCCTCTTACAATTCTGCTTTACTTCACCAGATTTAATCTCCATTTAACAGTCGTCGTTTCCCTATAATTTCCCTTTCAATTCGGATTTAATTCACTAGATTTAATCTTTATCAGCTGATGATCTTCCCCTAGCCGTTGAGGGAGATCCGTCTTCCCCGTGATCTCGTAGTAGGATGTGCATTATCAACTCAACTCTGCTCATGTCCCCTTCTGTCGCCGTCTCGATGCCACATATTTTAAGATCGGTGTTTGTGCTGATTAGGGGCTGTTACATACTACCTCCGTCCTAAAAGAAAATCAAACCCTACGGATGCGTGTGTCCAGATTCATCTCTAGAGTTTGATTTTTTTTTTACGTATGCCCAGATTCATTCCTAAGGTTTGATTTTTTTTTACATGTGTCCAGATTCATTCATAGGGTTTGATTCTTTTTTAGACGGAGGGAGTAAGTGAATAACAATTTCTCTTGAAGATAAATTGAACGGTTTTGATAATTAAGGTGGGTCCAATGCCCTATTTTAGAATTGGGCGGTGTATTTAAGATAAACATAGTAATTCAGGGGATCAAATGGGCTCACCCATTGTAATATTGGAACTATTTGCCACGAGAAAGCCCATAGCTGTATAGCCGATTTCTTGCACCATTAGTGTGCATCTCGTTACTACTAGTTGGGTTTCGCTTGTTTCAACTATAATTTACATTCCAGAGCTAATTTTGAATTTTATAACTAAATTTTAGAATAAATTTAGGTGTTCTTTTAATCTCTTTCATCAATGACCGTGATGTTCGGACTGATAAGAGTAAAAGTGTAAAAGTCTTAAACGGACCCCTTTAGATAGCAGAAATGGCAAAACACATGAATAGAAAAAACACAATACTTTTAAAACTGTATAACGTGCAGTAGTATCGATCGAGACGAAATACACATATACAAATTTTCAATGATGATCTAATGCTGTATGTTTCTTGATTGTGTATAATATAATAATAAGACAAACAGAAAAATATGCTAGTGCTTTTGTCTAAAACTGCCTGTTTGGAACAACATATTTGGGCAATTGGCTAAGATATGATATAAAATTTACCCGTATGCCGTGATGGATCGAGGCGGCACACTTGTCATCTTTCGGTAATACAGTAAGAGTTGGGCCAGAATAGTATTGTGGCTGACGTGTGGGCCCAGCTTAGCTGAAATGGTATTGGGGCTTAACAATTTTTGCCAGCAACCTTAATTTGTCTATTATTAATACACTACGTTTCAGTACTCTGCAAGGTTACATATCCCAGATACAGAAATCTGCATGTTCCAACTACTTTTACCCAGTCGTGTAGGCTTCGATTTACTCCACAATCTGCGTACAGAATACTGCTGTTTCCAGAACCAATTGAAGCCATGACACCAATGCAACAGTAACTCATCTGCAGTATCATGGGTTATTCTTCCATGAGTCACAGCATGTAAAGTGAGCTAGATGAATCATGATATCGCAGCAAGCAAAATACAGAAAGACAAGGCCAAATAGCAGGTACTTGCTCCAGACATCCACTCAAATCACCATTACGGATGAAACAGATTGAAATGACAGTTTTTTCCGTCCAATTTATGTTCCTACCCTTAAAAGTTTATTAGGAAATTAACTATGAATTAACCCAGTCACTTCTATATTCATCTGCCCGATGCAATATATTCCTCTGAACCTTTGTTACTGAAGAGATAAAAAAGATATCCTCAAATTAGGCCTGAAAAGTGAGCTACTGGTAGAATGGTAGAGTGCAAGATCAAAACTCAAGTTTCATTATCTCATCATATATCCCAAACTACTCCTGAAAAAAAAAACACTGCAAGGGTAGATGATATCAACAGTAATAATGTGCAAAAGCTCCATCTAATGACAATCACGATTATGCCTCCATCAGTAACTGAGAGCCTTCCTCTCTAATCACACCCCAGAAAGCCTAACTGAGGGTCTTCGTCTCTAATCCGACTAAATGAAAAAAAACACTGTAAGAATCACACCCCAGAAAGCCTAACTGACAGTCTTCGTCTCTAATCCGACTAAATGAAAAAAAAAAACACTGTCAGCTGTAAGGGTAGATGATATCAACAGTAATGTGCAAATGCTCCATCTAATGACAATCACAATTATGCCTCCATCAGTGACTGAGTCTTCATCTGAGAAAGCCTAACTGAGGGTCTTCGTCTCTAATCACGGCGCAGAAAGCATCCCTGTGACATGCAACATGAATAACGTCATCAGAAATTCAGAAACAGATTTCGTTAATAAAAAAAGAATTCAGAAAAGATCAGTTGCAAGTTGCAATCAGTAAAGCAATTGGCGCGGATCGGTTGCAATCAGTAAAGCAATCGGCGCACCTCGATCCACGTAACGGAGTGACCAACGATCAGCCCGAGACCCATCATGACGTAGCAAGCCGCGTCCAGGAACCTGCCGCTGTCGCCGCCGCGCACGGCGGCGAGGTAGATGACGTAGAGCCCCAGCAGCGCCACGGCCATGATGGCGGCTCGCCCCATGTTCTCCTCGCTCCTGGTGTACCGGGACGGGATGCGCGCGGCGGCCTCGTCGTCGTCGGCGGCGCACGCCGTCATCGCCAACCCCAGGATCGGCCCCATGAGCAGCGCGCCGGCCAGGGCGATGGCGCACAGGGCCACATCGCCCTTGCTCTCGCACCAGGGGAAGATCTCGGCGGCGAACACGGCCACCATCGCGACGGCGGCGATGATGCAGAACCATTGCGGGAGAAGCCACATCAGACTACGATCGAATCCGGCGAGAAAAAAAAAACTGAGGAAATCAACACGGCTTACCCTAATCGCGAGGAGCCATGGGGGCGTCGGGTTGCACGCGGCTGCGACCGGAGGCGGCCGGCCTTCCTCGAGCAAGCAGAACCGGAGATCGGCCGCCGCCGCCGGAGTATTCCCCATGCCGCCGCGGCCAGGGGAGGGATCGAGAGCGCGTCGGCGGCGGCGAGTGTGCGGCGAGATCGGAGGAATTTTTTTCGTTTTTAGATTTTTTTTAATATTTACAGAAATAATCTATCGACCAAAAAAATTACAGAAATAGCCCCTGCCGCCCCAATGGTGGGCGGCAAGCTGACGTGGCAGACGGTGGGTCAACCGCGCCGTCTGCCACCGTCGGCCAAAATTGCGATTAGGCCCTTGCCGCCCATACAGAGGGCGGCAAAGGGCTAATTGCAATTTTGGCCGCCAATAAAGAGCTTGCGGCCGTACTTTTTTCATCTGGGTCCCTTGCCGCCCCAGATGTAAAACGTACAGCCAAAAGATTTTTCTATGTTATGTTAATAATAAATAAAGAAGTATTTATTGGTAAAACTTGTTAATATTGTTATAAAAATGTATTGAAGTTGGTTGTTGCGCAATTTCATATGTTAAGTGAGATATTATTTTGTACCATATTCGACGTATTAGTACTCGGATAATTTATATAGGCCTATCGCAGTCTGGGTCGTAGAAACATTATATGGACTTAAATAAGGAGAATTATGTAACATGAAGAAATAGTAGTACAATTTGAACATGATACAACTATTTGCATTGCGGTTACATAGATGATATTAGATTCGAACTAGGAGGGAGGTAGTGTAATAGTTGAACACAACGACGATGTAGTAATGGGACAAGGAAGCATGACAGTAGAAATTTCAATATGCCAAGTTGTCCGATAATAGCTAACCCCTACGTTAGGATCCCTCTCCTCTCTCAAACCGCGCTTTAGTAATCCTGTATTGCTCTGGTAGTTCAAGCTGCACAACACGGCTAGGTGGAGTTAGAACCCTTCTGGTGTCTATCCATTCTCTATATTGACATCTCCTTGGTGGTTCCTGGGAGGAAAGAATAGATGTAAAGCAAGCAAAGTTAGTAAATATTGTGAGAAAATAAGGATTCATGTAATCAAAATATTCTTACCATGAAATCATCGTCAAGAATATTTGGACAAACAAAGAACCTTCGACCCAATGTTGTAGGATTTATGGAACGAAGAACCTGACAACGATCACCACACCTGCATCTTGGACGGGCTTCCCATGGAGGGAGTGCGTAGTTAGCACCCGCCAGTCGCTCTGTTGTTCACGACATTGTCGTTCATAAGCCGTTTTTCTCTGTAAGTATTGCTCAGTACTTTCGGATGCGAAATACCAGCGACCTTCTTGTAAACAAGTGGTTAGGTCGAGAACGGGATTTTCTGTATCGACCCACTCGATGTATGCGCAAGCCGTAGTGCGGGTCTGCCGAATAGAGTAGTGTTACGAAGAATAAAGCAATTGCCCGTACGGAATAAATAAGCATATGCAGATAATAAAATACCTCACGGTCATAGTTAGGGCACCTAAAAAAGCGCCTTCCTCGAATATCAGGATTCCTCGAAGCCATTAGTTGGCATCGATCACCGCATAGGCAGAGAGGACACTGGCACCAAGGTGGTAGTAGGTATACACAAGGATCGCTACGCCAGTTTGGATCCTCAACACCCCGGCGTCTAGCCATTGACAAAAGCCGGTCGGATTTGTAATGAAGCAAGTGGGAAAGAGAGTACTGAATGTGACTGAGTTCTGAAAGATTGTGAGGCCTCACTCGTTAAGGCGACTTATATAGGCGCAAAAAATCGAGTGATACCCCTGACATGTGAACGTGGTGGGGTATGGTGGGTACGGCTGATTGGCGCCGAAAGTTACATGCCTGATCGGCGCCGAAAGTTACATTGGTCGTATGCGCCAAATGGCGGGCAAATACTCGTATCGCACGCGAATAAAGGAGGCTGCATCGGTGCGGCAGAAAGTAGTCGTGCATGCGCTGAAAGGTATCGTGCATGCGCCGAAAGGTATCGTGCACATATAACAAAAACGTAGTCATTACACAAGCATACAGTACTAGAAAGTGAAGCAAATAAACAAAGAGAAGACTGCTCTACTGGCCCTGCCCCACGCCGCGACCACGCTTGGTCCTCCGGGCCTGTGCTTGCACGTGGTCCTGGGAGTAGGTGAAACGATCCGGTGGCACAGCACGGGTAGCACGAGTGTCCCGCGGAGGAGTGGCCTGCGCCTGGTCCTGTGTCTGCACCGGCGGTGCGCCTCCCAGCTGTGAGGGGCCGATGACGTCCTCTGTCAAGCCTGAAGCGAAGTCGAAGTCAGAAATGTCGAAGAGCACGGTGGAAGGCAGCAAGCGGTCCGACGAGGTCCCAGCATGGTCCAGTGGTGGACCCTGACTCGACGTGCTAGCTGCCTGTGACGAAGTCCCGGTGTACTGCCAGAACTGCACTGAGTGCGAGGTCGACGCAGCTGCCTGAGACGCTGACCCTGCAAACTGGGAGAAGTGGGCGGCCTGCGTCATAGCGAACTGGGCGAAACCTACACATCGACAACGGGACCCTTGTAAGCTAAGACATAAAATGCATGTAAATTGATTGTCGAAGTAATGTTGTTTTTTTAAGTACCTGTGGGGGGCACAACAGAAGGCCTAGCCAAGGAAGGCGGGGTGCTGAACAGTGCACGAAACCCTGAAGCAATCGGCAAGTGAAACAGCTCACTTATATGTGCGAGGCATGTACAGAAATAGTAATAAAAATACTTACCTCCGTGCGGAGGGGGAGTCGGCCTAGGAACGTGCGCAGCTGGACGGGGACCAGTCGGTACGGGTGGCCGCTGTACAGCTGCATCTGCCCGAGCAACGTCGTCTGCACGACAGGTGAGCACTCGGAGAATCGAGTGCATCGACTCCACCATCCGCGTGTATGTCGTCAGGTGCTCCTCTACGGGTACCAGAATCCCCGCGCCTAAACGTTGGATCGTCGTTGAACCGTCAACGACGACCCGGTTGATGTCGTCGACCTGCATGGTTAATTTGTTCGTAAATATTCGTAAAATTTGACGAAGAGAAAGACATGAAAACATAAAGGAATGGTGCGATGCAGGGTACTCACAGCACGAGCGAAGTCCTGGTCGCGGTGCCTGGCGTAGAGGTCTCTAGTGCTCGCAACATGGGGCTGCTGCTCCAAGGGAGTGAAGGTGACCCTAGTACGGGTGTGTGGCCCTCCAGGCCTTGGCATAGCTAATAGTATACTTGTATGTCTCTTCGATGTGTCGGATTATTGACCTTGGTTCATATGTGAGATTATCGATGACATGCGCATACATCTAAGATGCAACAAATGCACATGTAATGTTCTTGTGGTATTTCTGAACACCAGGTAGAAAACATGTATGCTTGGTAACAACTGACACTGTCCAATAATCCTTCCATTTCCCCTTATATGCGTGCACTCTCCAGGGACAACCATATTTTTCCTTAACACACCGAACTTCATATTGCGACCGGTTCGACTTGGCAACCCAAAACTCTCTATGAAGTGACACTGCAAAATGTTTTACCGCCTCCTTCATATCTTCTGCTCTACTATAAATCGCTCCCTGAATAACCTCATTTTCTTTGTACTCCCATCTCACACTATCCTCTTCAGAGACGATCAGCCCAGAAAAATCCTCACTAGCCCATTCTGCTGGATTAATATCCGTCTCATCATCTAACGAATCACCTTCCTCTACATGCTCGTTGTCAGAATCCTCCCTCTCCATTTCATCCACAATGGCACCGACAGTCTCCCCCTCGTCGGCCACTCCACCTGGTTGAATGCCCACTGGAGCTACTACGCCCCCGTCCTCTCGTGCGTTGACCTCCTCCACAGAAGTCTCATTTACTTCAGCACTTGGTCCCTCGCCATCATCCATGTTCATCTGCACACCTGGATCCTTCGGGTGAACAAACGGAACCAAAGCTAGAGGCCACCCGCGTTGCAATGCATTTTCCAAATACCATCTCCACACTCGAGAGTTTTGAACTGGCATTAGTTCCCAATAAAAACCCTCATTTGCCCGACTTACTATAACATTGATTGTTATGTCACTTGTCTGTGGATCAACTCTCAAGCCCCTCATTAACCATCCTTTTATAGAAGGTACACTCCTCTCAGCCGGTCTATCAATTCCCCTTTCTGATACAATAAAATCTGACAGATCTACCCCAGTTGGCCCGTAACGGACGTTTCCTGGTCTATGGTAAACTTGGAATATTTGTTTGTTCGACATATCTGTCAACGAAATAACTAGATCATATTACTCTTTCATGCAATAAACATCTACAACGTAATATCTTCTTGTGTAAGCCAATGCAACGGTAATGTATTGATTCCAAACTAGCAGATCTACGTAGTTACCGATATCTACAATACGCACTTCTAGATTAGTACAACTAAAACCCTAAAAATATAATGCATTTATTCAAACAAATTTTTAAAAAATACACACTATTTAACTCAATAGTCACATATAGGATCTATGAATATTACATGAAATCGGTATCTGAATCCGGCAGGGCTTCGCCCCTTCTTTTCTTCTCCTCCCCTCTCTTCTTTTTTTTTTTCACTGGAACTGAGGAGGGAGGAATGAGGGCTGGGGGCTGGGCGGTAGGCCTTTTATAGGCAGCGAGGCCTGCCGCCCGGCCAGAGGGCGGCAAGGGGCCACCTGCAAAATAGCCGGCCCCGACTGGCTTTTTTGCATTCGGACCCCTTGCCGCCCCACCAGAGGGCGGCAAGGGTTTTCCTGCAAAAAACCCTCCCTCCGTCACCGCCCGTTCCTCCCCCGTTTGCCACGTCAGCTTGCCGCCCCAGAGGTGGGCGGCAGGGTCTATTTTTGTAATTTTTTTGGCCGATAGATTATTTCTGTAAATATTTAAAAAAAAATCTAAAACCGAAAAAAATTCGAGATCGGAGGGGGCGTGGCTGTTTCGGATTCGTTGGTGAGAAAGGCCCAATTTGTAACATTAGTTGGGCCAGAAAAGTATTACGTGCAGGAAAAAAGTACACTTTAACTCTCTTAAAAAAGTACGTCGAATCTAATTCGTACCTCTCAACCAGAAAACCAGATAAGACAACTTCCCAACTATTGAAACTAGTGTAATTTAACTCCCTTAGTGGTTTTGAAGTGTGGTTTTGCTAACATGGCGGTGTTGAGCT